GAAATCAGCATTATGAAGATGGAGATTAAATAGGACAAATGCTTGTAATATGCTTATCACAATGGTAATATGGTTGTTCTAGTAAAAGTTGCTCATTTCATTAGGTTTCTGTTTTTTCTATTATGTCTCCCCCTGTTATGGTTACTGCTGAGCTGCGAAACTGTGTTGAGTATATTAAAAGATGAACATTCTGAGTAATTTGCTTACTATTAATTATAAAGAAAAAATACCAAAAGTGATGACCTGATCAATGAATTCATCTCACCTAGAATGATTTAGTCTTAACTTTCAAATTTTTGTAATACATTTATAGATAATGCTTCATACATAAAACAGCAGTTATAAGTGAATTGAACTAGTAAAGCCTTTTTAAAAAAAGTTTATGTTGTTGCAGGTAAGTTGAAAACTGATTGTCATAGGACACATATAAGAATAAATACAGATATCTGAGAGAAAAATGACACAGGATTATAAAGTCTCAAAGACTGGATAGTAAGACAAGAGTTTTTAACCTATCAGCTGACAAACAATTAAAGAAAAATAAAAACATAAACTCCGTATTCATGAGTGGTGATGACCTGGGTGTACTCTTAACCCTGTATGGGAAAGAGCAGGTGAATAGCATGTGTGGACTGGCCGGCTTTTCCTGTCGTCGTCATATTCTGCCACACAGGAATCAGGTCTTTTTCAAAAATACTGAGCTTAATGCAGTTGAAGGCCCTTGTGTTCTTTTCCACAATGTTATTGTTTTCCATTCCACAAATGTTTTAAATGTCATATGTATTGTTTTATTTTTACATTGAAGTTTATTATTTGATAGAATTTGCTTGAATATGTTTATTAAAGCTCTTAATATTGTAATTTTAAATTTCAAGTTTTAATATAACTTACTATTAAACTTGTCCTTATTTTTACAAGAGTTTTCATAGTGTCTGCATATATTTATTTTGAATGAATTCATTCATTTATTCAGCAGGAAGTACTGATCCTACTGTGTTCAAGGCTATTATGTACAGGGTGGGTAGTGGTGAGCAAAATAGATGTGAGTCCAGCCATCATAAGGCCAGAAGGAGATACAGACTGGAAGGATTGCACAAGAAATATAGTTACATATTTTAACACATGCTGTGAAGGAAATGTGAAGGTGCTGAGGAAGGAGAGTGAAAGTCCTTTGGATTTTATTTTTAGGAATGGGGGGATATTTTTGGATGATTTAAAGTGACCATCGCTAGCCGCTATGTGGAGAATATTCGTAAGACTATAATCAGGGATCCCTACTAGGAAGCAATTGCAGCATATTGCACGAAACAGAATAGTTGTGTTCGACCATGACAACAGTGGTAGGTGCTTGGATTTGGCGTTTATTTTGAAGGTAGACAAATGGTATGAGATTGTAGGTCAGTATTAAAATGCCCATGTACTTTTCCTTTGTAAGACATTTCAGGGGGCCTGTTAAGTCTATCTCTTTGCATATTTTTTTTAACATAAGCTGTATTTTCTTAGCATCTTTTCCCAGAAATGACATTCCTGTGTCAAAAGCTATGAATATTTGTATGACTCTTGACATATACTGTAAATGCTTTCCTAAAGGATTATGCCTGTTTATTGTATCACCAGAAATGTTTGAATTCTATCTACAGTTAACTTTTGCAGCATAGTAAATTTCATGTAGAAAAGGTTTTTTTTTTTCCCCTCCCTACTACAGCACTGAAAAAAAAAGAAAACCAACAGTGCTTTAGCTGAAAGTGAGGGGAAGTATATAGAATAGCTTTCCTTCATTTGATATTTTATGATGTTGACTTAGTTTAAGTGGCTTTATTTTATCCAGGTTTCCAAAGATTTTAGTGACCTGTGCATCTGATCTAAAGGTTTATTCTATTTGAAAGACTGGGAACATAAAAAGTATTCTTAGCTCTTAAGCCATACAGAAACAGGTAGACAGGATTTGACCTGTGGACAGTGGGTTGCTTAACCCTTATTTACTTACTTTCTAATTTTGGGAGAGATTCTACACTTATGCATACTTTTTTTCCCCCTATTTTCATATATTTCCTCTCTTTTGGCTAATGAAGTTGGGATAAAATTTAGTATTTTGTTGTGCTTATTTTTTGGTTTGCCTTCAGACCTGTTATTTCTTTTTCAGATCATACATTACTATTTTAACGCTTCAGGTTAAAAGTTTAACTTAGTTGTGCTGCCTTTTTATATAGTTTACTAACTGTGCTTTTAAAGATGACTATAGTTATGATGATAAATTTGGAGAAATACTGACTTTTCAAACTATACCTGTTATTTCTAATCCTAATCAGCAGATTCTACTTATTGTGGATTACTTTTCAACACCTGAATGTGACTTAGAACTTGGTTGCAATATTTTAGGATTTAGAAGGGAGAAGGTAGTAGCTGTGAGATATATTGGCGAATAGGGACTGTTTTCCCTCTTTCTTAGTCCCTTTGATAGAGTATTCATCATGGGAACATGTTGTGAAATACGTGCAGAGACTACTGACATTCCACATGGTATACTTTGAAATACAGTGTTTGAAAATTGTGTAAGTGGGACTTCACTGAGGTACCTCTTGGAGGCATTCCATATGGGCAGATGGTGAGTAATCCCCCAGCCAGGCTGTAGGCACAGACTTGAGTGACTCTAGCAACTGTAGTCTTTAATTTTATTGTTGTGAGAAGACTAAGGAAACAACCAACTCTAAGATTGTTAGTGTTGGTAAGTAAAGCATATGAGGTGCCCGCGATAAGTAAGGAGAGATCTTAGGTCTGTCTTACGTGCACTCTAAGAAGCTCTCCGTGGCCCTCAATTCCTGCTCTTCCACAATATTTAAGTAACCCTGGAATTAGTTCATTATGGAGTTTTTTCAAGTACTTAATTTAAGAACTGGGATAAAATAATAAAATTTAAAAATTTTCCCATCTTTGGTCAGGAGCTTCTTATTGAGAAAATACATATTCATTCTTTTTTCTTAATGGTGAGATAAATAACTTGGAAAATACAGTTTACTTTAAAATACCAGTACAACATCATTGTCTAAATGGTTGTTTTTCACACTTTCTGAAATGTGTTTAACATGACATCTCATACCAAAAAAAGGTAAATTTATTTCTTAAACTTGTTCTCTCTATTGAAGATACAGCCTTTGTTAATATTTTGATGTATATATCACCAGTTTTAAAAATTTTGTACAGAAACCTTTATATATATAGGTACATATATCTAATTTGGGTCATGCTTCAAATATAATTTTTGTATTTTCCTTAATACTGTAAACATTTTTCAAACATTTTACCAAAAATGTGATTTTATCACCATTCTCATTTTTATCACCATCCTCTTTTTTGATGATAGAATGTTCTGTAAGGTATTTCATGAGCTGAAGGCATGCTAGTACTACAATCATGTGTGGGACGATAAAAAAGTGTCCTAAGTTTTATCCTTTACCTATTATCTACCCTGACTCTTATTCTATGACTTCACATTATACCCCCCTTCCTCATTTTCTGAGGCTATTTGGCAAAGAATGTGTAAAATTTTTTATGCATATGTGTTATTCCAAAGGCAGAGGGAAATTGTCTCTTTAAGATACTGTTAGTACTGTCCACCCTCTTTCCTTCTCAGTTGAACTGCATAGTCCCTTTATATCCATCTTTTTCCCTGTCTTCCACATCTCTCTTTTTTAATACAGACTCCACAGATTTTGTGGATAAGAGGAGTACATAACTATGCTGTTTAGAATTAATACAATATCCAACTGTTAGATATTGTTATCAAGGACTTCAGAAATGGATAAGGACATTATAATCCTCCATACTGACCAAATGTTTATGTATTCCCTTGGCTGTAAGTAAAATAAGTACTTGATGGTATTTGTAAGTTAGTTGGTTTTTCTTGCCACCTAAATCATCCTAAATAATAGATTTGGTAGAGTTATCCCATTTTTGTAATACTTTCTTTTATGGATTATTTGGGTCTCTTGTTACTACTATGTACATGTCCATTGTACTCTGTAAAACACCTTTTTATTGTAAAATATACATAACAAATTCATATGTATTATTATAATAAATATATATTGTATCACACAACAGCCATTTAAGTGTACAATTCAGATGCATTAAGTAAATTTGCAGTAGTCTGCAACTGTTAGTTTTATCCACTTCCAGAACATTTTTATCATCTTAAACTGGAACTGTTCCCATTACACAATAATTCTAATCCCTCTTCTTGCAGCCCTAGGATCTCTCTACTACTTTTTGTCTTTGACTTTACCTTTTCAAGATATTTCATCTAAGTGAAAGCATAGAAAATTTGTTTTGTTGTGTCTGGCTTATTTGACTTAGCATAATGTTTTTAAAGTTATCCATGTTGTAGCATATATCCAAATTTCATTCCTTTTTATGGCCAATAGTCCACTGTATGTATATATCATGTTTTGTGTACCTGTTCACCTGTTAAGAAATACTTGGGTTGTTTCTGCTTTTTGGTTATTGCAAATAACACAGTTATGTACATTGGCTTTATGTATATTAGAATCCCTGCATTTAGTTCATTTGGTTGCATACCTGGGAATGTAATTGCTGGATCCCATGATAAATTTTTGTGCACCTTTTTGAGGAACTGTGAAAATTTTCCTACAGTGGTGGTGCCACTTTACATTCGCATCAGCAATATACAGAGGTTCTAGTGTCTCCCCCACATCCTCCCTAGCACTTATTTTCCCCTTTCCCCCCCTTTTTTTTAAATAATAGGCATCCTAATGGGTGTGAGGTGGACGCTCACTTTGGTTTTGATTTACATTTTCCTAATGATGTTGAGCAACTTTTCATGTTTTTATAGGTCATTTTATATCTTCTTTGGAGAAATGCCTTTTCAAGTCCTTTTTCCCAGCTGGATTGGGTTTGTCTTCTTGTTGTTTAGTTGTGTCTGACACCTTTTTAAAAGTAAAACGTACAGTATAATAATCTAGACTGTGTTTCTCCCTTCTCAGGATTCCTACAGGAAACAAGTAGTAATTGATGGAGAAACCTGTCTCTTGGATATTCTCGACACAGCAGGTCAAGAGGAGTACAGTGCAATGAGGGACCAGTACATGAGGACGGGGGAGGGCTTTCTTTGTGTATTTGCCATAAATAATACTAAGTCATTTGAAGATATTCACCATTATAGGTGGGTTTAAATTGAATATAATAAATTGACATTGAGGAGTAATTATATCTTCCTTTATTTGAGTCTTTGTTAATTCCCATGCATAAATTATCTACTTTAATTTTTTTAATAATTTTTGGGAAATGGTAATATCCCTGTTTACAAATGGTGCTCTTGAGGAAAAAAGTAGTAGAGTAACTTGTTCCATATTGAGTAGATAGTAGCAGTGTTGGGATTGAAACCTATGCCTGTTTTGAATCAAAACTTGCTCTTTTAACCCACTCTATGCTAGAGAAACAGGCTTTAAGCTAGAGCGACCATAAAAATGGAAACCACAACAAATATGAAAAGTTAATCAAAAATGATGCTAGTTGAATAGTTTAAAAATAAACTAAAAATAGTTTTAAACTAAACTATCTAATTTCTTAAAAGTAGATAAACATTGGCCTTAGATATTTAGGGTAAAACCACAACTATAAAAGTTTGAATTATTGCAACAATTTTTCAAGAATCCCACAATCTTAAAATCATTGTTGTATCGAGTATCATTTATAATCTATTTCTTTGAGGGCTTACAGTTTAAATAAAACTCATGTTGAGCAAATACCACATTCATTGGCTGTGTTGTATAACAGTAAAGTAGCCCAATTGAGGGTTCTAATGATTTACTTACATCATATTTCTTCCAGCCTGTTTTCTCTGAAGTCTAGTAAGAGAGGGGAAAAAAATCTGGGTTGGTGATAATATTTTTGTAGAATAGTAAGTAGATACAAATATGTCAGCTAATAAGGAGCGAAAATGGGAATTTGAGCCAGTCCTGACTCTGTTGTCTGCTTATTCCTAGTACTGTACACTGCCTCTTTGAGAGTCATCTAAATTTCCAAGGAATATAATTTTATCCCAAATTTAAACTTTGTACACATTTTATATTGAAAAGTATCAACATGTCGTAGCCCTTTACAGAATACACAGCACAGACAGTGACATCAGTGTTTTCCTTGTAGAAATCTAGCTTGGTATTCTTTTTTGAGAAAGAAATATGGAAAATTTGTTAATGTTATAATTCATGGTTTTGTAACCATATTTGAATTCCATACATAGACATCTAACAACACACATAGTGCATGTCTCTAAGACTATAGTTTTAAAAATTAGGCACAGCACTTCTGGCTAATTATTTACTATTTTGTTTGATCTTTATGACCTACTTGCATATGAATCTAATGGACTGTATTTTATATTATGTTTCTAGGTGTTCCTTTTTAAAAAATTTTTTTTGAGGTCACATTGGCTTACAACACTATGATTCAGAGGTGTAGGTTTGTTCGTACCTCTACAGACAGGTTATTTGGTCTTTTAAGAGACAGGGAAGTTCCCTGTTTAAAGATGGAGAAAAAAAGATACCTGGAAAGAGTAACAAGGAAAATGTGGTGTGATGGCAACTTGGAATTATATGACCTTCATATTTTATAAGATAGAGTTGTCAACAATTTTTGAAAGATTTTTCTGTTACTAATCTCCCCCCCACTCTCTTTTTTTTCTTCCCCAGAGAACAAATAAAAAGAGTTAAAGACTCTGAAGATGTACCTATGGTTCTAGTAGGAAATAAATGTGATTTGCCATCTCGAACAGTAGATACAAAACAGGCTCAGGACTTAGCAAGAAGTTATGGAATTCCTTTCATTGAAACATCAGCAAAGACAAGACAGGTAAGTAAGACTTTATAAATCTCTTCTCTGCCAACTTTATCAAGTGATTTTAATCAATAATCATAATCTACTAATAAGTTTTCTAATATCATTTGGGGGGCAGGGACATTAATAAATGTACATACCTGATAACATAATTATTACAACATTTAATGCAACTTAAATCAATTTTTCTTTCCATTATACTAAAATAGGTAATAAAAGAATGTGTGTTTGGTAGATGTTCTCAAGGATGTGAGAGGGCAGTACTTCTGAATTCCCTGTCTCTGCTGTCGCTTTTGGCTTTGCTTTCTTTCCACGTTGAACATCTCTCTTCATCTCAGCACAACCTACATTCAGGATTCAAGAAAAGTGGGAGTTTTGTTGTTTTTTTTTTCACTCATTTTATTTATGAACTAAAAGAACAGAGGAACAAAGTTTGAGTTTCCTGTTTTAGAAGTGTTTTTAAGAGTGTTATGTCTTGGTTTTAGATTGTTGTATTTGAAGAGTTTTACTTTGGTAGAATTTTTAAGGATGTATTTATTTTTGAAGAAAGTGTTCAATAGAGGAGGAAAATATTCAAAGTAGATAGAAATTCTGTTGTTCATTGACGCTGTTATTTTGACAAAAATTAAAGCCAGATATCCTTGAATTTTATGTTAAAAATCAGCTTCATTTTAAGAGCGACTTTTTCTCTAGGTGAAATAAAGCAATTGTATGAAAAAAGAATTTTACATAAAGAGTAAAGTGCTGGAAAGGAATGCTTTAAGGGTGTGATGGAATACAGTTTTCATGCAGTAAGAAATTGGTCAGTTTATGTTCTATACCAGCTGGACTTTCGTTTAGGCCTTTGTTTGGATACATGTACCTGTCTTTGGATACAGGAAACCAATTTTGCGAAACTAAAACTTCAGCATTGCTAGGAGGTAGGAAAATTGATGGACAATTCACTACATGATGGAACTTGCAAAACAGGCATTCTAGAATATTCATTAAGTTTTTTAACGGAGTAAAGTTTTAAAAGTGAACTGCCATTCACATATATGCCCATGGGCTAGTTCTATTCCCATTTCCCTAGTGGGGGATCATTTGTGCCACTTCCTAATATTTATAAATTTGGTACACAGTGAAAACAAACTGAATTCTTTTTCAAGTCTTTATTTTGAGATACAAGCTGAATTTCATTATTTCGTAGTACAAGTATGTCATTCGAAACCATGATTATGTAGTGAAAGAAAGACTTGGCGTCACTTGAGATTTCATTTAAATCCATGCCCAGGTCCCAGAGGCTGGGAAGAAGTTTGGTTTTTGTCTTTCTGGTCTTCTCTAATCAGGTGCCTTGATTTCCCTCACAGAGGAGGTAGTCAGAAAACGTGACTCTATTTGCATATGATTATTGTTTTTTTGTTTTTTTAAAGATTTATTTATTTATTTATACAAGCACTGGGTACAGTTAGAGGCACCGGGGGTGAGAGAATTCACCAGAGCCAGAGCGGGGAACAGAACAGGCAGACTGACGAAGTACACTGCTGAGGGGAGCAGCGGGCATGGCAGGAAAGGTCTGCTCTCCATGTGGGACTTGAACTGGTGCTGCAGAGGCTGCAGGCAGCCTTACAGCCCAGCGCTCAACCGCTGCGCTACCGGGGAGGCCCTCTATTTGCACATGATTATTGTATGATTATATCCCAACAGTTTCTTATGAAAAAACTTCAAATATGAACTCACTGAAAACATTTGTGGACCTAGTACTTAGATTATTTTTTAAAAGGTACTTTCTAGGGCCTCCCCTGGTGGCACAGTGGTTGAGCGCTGGGCTTCGAAGCTGCCCGCAGCCTCTGCAGCACCGGTTCGATCCCCAGCCGCTGGCGAGGGTCCCCCATGATGCAACAGACCTCTCCTGCCGCACCTACTGCTCCCCTCAGCAGTGTATTTCGTCAGTCTGCCTGTTCTGTTCCCCACTCTGGCTCTGGTGAATTCTCTCACCGTCCTGCGCTTCTGACTGTACCCAGTGCTTATAAATAAATAAATAAATCTTTAAAAGGTACTTTCTAGAGTAGTGAGCATTGTAGTTTACATTTTACAAAGAAAAGAAAAAAACATGCGAGTCTGCCACTGTTGTCAAGGTTGCAGACAGAGCAGTGTGAATAGCCTGGGCTGCTGCTTCAAGTCCAGATTCTGACTTAGTGTCTAGGCTGCACCTGTGATTCTGCATTTCTCACACTCAGGCAATGCTGATTTTGCTGCAGGGACCGCACTTCGAGTAGTAAGGCCAGAGAAGACACTGGAAGGGAGTGGGTTATTCCTAGCATGTTGCTTCTCACTTCTCCTCTGAGATAGAGCCTCAATAGCTGTGTCTTCTTTCCTTGTGTAGTTACTACCTCAGGAGTACCAACTGATTTTGTGATATTTCCTATACCACCATATTAGTAATCATAAAACTACCTGATTTCCTTTTAAAATAGGTTTTTAGGGTTCGGGTGGGGGGAGGAAGTGAGGAAGATATGTGTGTATGATGGAAGCTGATTAACTTAAATTTTTCTGTGGCTATTTCCATAGATCATCTAATTAAGTGATGATAAATACTTGTGATTTGGTTTTTATCCTTCTATTGTTGAGCTTTTCTTACCCAGTTTTATTGATATCTTTATGTCATTTATGTTGCTAAATAACAACTCAGATGTCAGTTTCTGATCTTTGGTTTATTTTTCACTACATGGACTTGCTGACTTGCCTTTCAAAAGTTTACTCATCTTCCTCTTGAAATTAATTTGATATTGGACTGCTTCTGGAACACTTTAAAGGGCTTTTTCACCTAACTGTGGAGATCATTGAAATATGTATATTTTAATAAATTTTATAACCCCAGCTTTTCTGAAATTTGAAACCCTTTTCTGCAGAGTTTTTGTTGTTTGTCTACTGTTACTTATTTGTTATTTGAACAAAGTAAACATGCTTATCTTTGTATTTTCTCAGCAGCTATTTGTACTATGCCTTAAGTTTTGTTCGTGGAAATGCACCTAAAACAGACACGAAAAAAATTTCCATTCAATTTGTTAGGAAGGGACATTCATTTAGAACTTCTTACTGATGCAAGTCAGGGGCTGGCAAACTTAAGTGACGGGCCAGATAATAAATATTTTATACTTTGTGGACCACAAGTGGTATCTATTACTTTTTTTTTCTTATAAGTCTTTAAAAATGCAAAACCACTCTTCGCTTGTGGTCAAGACAAAAGTAGGCTGTGGCTGCCTCTGGCCTGCGGGCTGCTGTGTGCTGACCTCTGAGTCTCTGGGGACCTGTCCCACTGGGTTGGACGCTGGAAGTTAGAGCAAACTTTACACTTACATTACATTTTTTTTTTTTAAATATCAGTCATTTTAAAATAGAACTTATGTATTCGTGAAAGGGAAGTAGTTTTACTCTACTACTTTTTTTGGATAAGGATTGCAGAATATATTATTTTACTAACATTACTTTGTAATTTTAAAGGATGCATTCTTTGACTTGCATATAATGAATTGTGTTTTTTTGCACTCATTATAGTCCATATCTATAGTCCATATCAAAGTCTGTCTTGTTTTCTTCTTTATTGCTAGTGTGTTTAAAAACTGCTGCTGAGTTCATGTTATCTGGGCAATTCTGATGGACAGGATTTCTTGACCTTTTTGGGCAGTTGCCGGCATTGTTGGCAAAGGCTGTTGAGACCAAAACACTGACACCATGGTAATCAACTGTGTTTTCCAGTTTGCTAAAATCAGAGGTGGGGAGGGTTCCGTAAAGTGGATGACAGAGCAGAATTCTCAGAGTATCTGCTACTCCTGATTCAGCTGTCTTGCTTTCTGAAGGCTTTGATTTAAGTACAATATGAAAATTAATTTTTCAAACTTAAAAATGTTGAGTGATTAATTTCCTGGTTTTTGCTATTAATTTTTAATAAAATTAGTGGCAAGAGGACCTCCATGAAGGAAAGCTTTTGATCAAAATGTTTTTCAAACTAAACCAAATAAAAGCCTCCTTATGTGCCTTGTTTCTCTGATTAATATAGATGAGAGCAGTTTTGAACTTCAGCTTTTTATGAATTAAAAAATAAGAAACAGTTACTGTGTATCTGCAGTGTACCATGCACAGGGAAGGGATTCAGAACAGGTCTCCTAAGATGTGTCCAGTTGGGCATGTGGATTATTTTGAGTAAAGGTGATCAAAATCCTGCAGGCTCAAGAGGAATTTCTGCCTCTCTCTTAATTACTTAGAGGAATTTAGATTAGGGGGTAGAGGAGGGGGGGATTTGATCATAAAGTATTGCCAGAAATAACTTTCTATGACCCATCTGAATGGAAGGGAAAATATCTAATTATCAAACCACTATTCTCCTTCTGAGAGTCTGTGCATCATTCACTCTTCTCCCTTTACAACTCCAGACTCCTGTCCCATTCCTTAGCTCGGGATAAGTACCTCAGTTTACCTTTCTGGCTTTGGAGCTCTGTGTCTGTGTGGGCTTCCCATACATATGCAACTAAATTGTTCTTTTTTGTTAGTCTGCTTTATGTTTATTAATTATAGACCAAATGGAAGAATGTTAAAGGATAGAGGAAAATCTTTCCGTACCTGCAGTAGCCTCTCAAGTACTGGTATCACTGCATCTCGGTAGTGCCTGAGATGCGCTCTTGTTTATAGCAAAGTCACTTGAGAAACGCAGTGGTGCTAAGTCATTTTTAGAGTACTTCTTGTTTCTCTCTCTCCAGAAAGCTGGTACTCTTGCATCTGTTGCTGGTTAGGGTATTTGAAGTGTTATTTCCTTGAAAGAGTTGGCAGGAACTTTTGCAGATAAGCTGTTCAGCAGGAACAAATACTTGTTTAGACTCAGATCTCCTAGCAAAGGCTTTCTAGGTAGGAATAGAGGGAGATGCTGTCCTTCCTTCAGCATGGAGGGCTCTGTGTCTGTGGGCCTGCAAGTCGCTTTCCAGATAGTGACTGAGCTGAAAATATTGTCAAATCTCTTGGTGTAAATTTTTTTTTTACCT